GAAAGGAAAGGAAAGGAAAGGAAAGGAAAGGAAAGGAAAGGAAAGGAAAGGAAAGGAAAGGAAAGGAAAGGAAAGGAAAAGAAAGGACTATTCCTAGGTATGGTGGAGGAGAAGGTTTATTGTAGATAAAAGGGAGAGTGTAGTCAGAGGCAGAGATGTCTGGAAGAGTCTAAAGTGGATGTCACCCTGAGCCATGTGAGGAGAGGAGAGAGGGTAAGGGAGAGAGGATAGAGGGGAACAGCCAGGAGGCCCCAAAGAGAAGGGGTAACCAAAATGGCTGGAAGGACATCTGGGGGAAGGAAAGCCCAGCCCCTGGCTGGAAAAGTTTAGGCTAGGGGACAGAGTATGCCAACCAGGAGGACCCTGTAACAGGGAGGGACTGAGGGATTCTGGGAGTACCTGGTGGACAGGTCCACTTTAATTTGTTAAATAGGCACCTCAGCCATCTGTCCCAGGGTTTGAGACTTAACACATAGGACTGTGTTTCCCAGAAGATTGACTTCTGCTTCCATCTACAATAAGCATGTTTGAAGTAGGCACTGAAGTAGGAAGACACCAACTCCAAGAGGAAAAGGGAAACTTAGTAGTTCTTTTGAAGCACACTGGAAAAATGAAATTTACCATACCAGGCGGTTTTCTTTTCCTTTGGCATCCATGCAAAAGTTGATCAACTCTTTCTCTATGGTGTTCACAGAAAAGTCTATTCCTCTGGTTAGCAAGGAGTTGTAGAATCGGTTTAAGAATTCTTTACATACTAGAAGGAAGAGAGACTTGGGTCTGTTACACAATTTTACCTCTGCCGCATCTATGACCATGACCCACCCATCAAGCGAGGAAAATATAGGTATGATTCAGGGCTGGAGAGGTGGCTCAGCAATTAAGAGCACTTGCAGCTCTTACAGAGGACCCAGGTTTGGTACTTGCCACCTACAGCTTACAACCATGTGTAACTTCAGTTCTAAGGATCTGATGCCCTCTTTTGGCCTCCATTGGCACCAGGCACATGTGGTACAAATGCATACATTCAGGCTAACACTTCTGTGCATTCAGTGCATTATGACCATGGATTCAAACCCTAAACATTATTTGGGGGTCTGTTACTAAAGCCATGAATGCAGTAGACAGAATCTACCAGTCAGTCTTTGGAACCAAGTTCCACCTAAAATGAAAACCTTTTGTATAAACTTTGGCAGACCCTAAAAGATAAGATAGCTTTTGTTTAGGATATGGTCTTGGGAATAACTTTGCTTCAGGCATAGAGAAAAACCTGAATAACTATAATACCTTAAATAAAGTTCCTTAGCATGCACGAGTATTTATGTTCCTCCCCATGAGTCTAAGATTGGTGGAATTCTAATCTGCTTTTTTATACTTTATGTATAGCATAGTTAAATCCTAACTTGAAGAACATTGTTCAATCCCAATTGTCTTGAACTGTGAGAGATGGGACTTGGAATAGGCACAGCCGTGAACAACCACCACATTAACCCTTGTCAGGGCTGGCAGGTGCTGGCTCTGATGCAATATTGCATGTATTTTAACTTCTTCAAATGTCCCAACAAAGCTATGGCATAGATACGTCACTACCCTCTTTACAGATAGAGAGACTGAGCCAGAGAGACATCCCCTAACTTGCTGGGCAAGTAGTAGAGAGAGCACTTGATCCTCAGTGGCCCTGGCCCTGTGGGAGGAAGAAGAAATCTTTTCTTCTTTGAGATGTTTTTGTCAGGATGTATGTCCCAGCAAGGAGTGACATCACTAATGCACACAGCCTCTCTCCTGATCTTCTGGAAATCCAATGAACATATGCTGGGGTTTTCTTTATCTTTATTATCTCTTTCCCATCATATTCTTTCATCTCTCTGTGATACATTCTTAGCCATCTTTTCCCCCACTACTAGTAAGAGTCTCATGTATCTCAGGCTGGTCTCAAACTCCCTATTTAGCTAAACTTTTGATTCTCCTACTCCATGCCTCAAGAGCTAGGATTACAGGTGAATGCAACCATATTATGCAATATTGGGGCTCAAACTCAGAGTTTCATACATGCCAGGCAAGCACCCTGCCAGCTGAGCTACATCACAGTCCACCTCTTAGATCTTGTTATACACTATTTCTTTTTCTCACTGGTATCTATCTGATCTGCTGTTGGTCTTATCAACTTTATTTACAGAAGTTTAACTGGCTCTTTCCCAAAAGCCTCCTGCTCTATATTTATATTATTAGTCCTTTCACTTCTTTAAACATAAAATGAAATCGATTGAATGATTGATAATAACCAAATCTGAAATCTTTTCAAGTAGACTACTTCTGTCTCTGGTCTCAACTGGCCATAACCTATGATACTCTCCTTCCCCATCCTGAATGAGAATGTGATTGGGAAGCCACTCACAGCACCCTGTCAACTTCACAAGGTTAAACACCACACTCTACAGTGTACCGTGTTCCAAACCTATGCTGCTTGGCAGATTAGGTGTACTGAATGCAGCTTGGCTTATGATATTTTCAATTTATGATGGGGATGTAACCTCATTATAAGTTAAAGACTAATACAAACACACACACACACACACACACACACTTGGTATTGGTTCTATTGCTCTGAAGAATTCTGACTAATTCATAATTCAAGTAGAAACAGTGAGGAAACCTCTTGGTACAGTCATGAATCACTTAATGATGGGGATGTGTTGCTTCTGAAATGTGTTGCTAGGTGACTTTATTGTAGGAACATCAAAGAGGGTACTTACAGAAACTTAGATGCTATAACCTGCCACACACCTAAGTCGTAGTGTACAGATCATTGTTCCTGGGCTACATGATTGGCAGGTATGTTCAATTTTTTTTAGCATTATAACACTACATTGTCATCTACAAAGTTTATGCTCAAGAACCATGCAATTGAGCTACAAGAAAACACACACACAACGAAAAAAAAAACCCATACACACACAAAATCTTACAATGTATTATGATTTTATGTTGAACTACATTCATAGCTATCCTGAACTATATGCAGCCTGCAGTCACAAGGTGATCATGCCTGTGTGTAGAACATGTTACATACTGAATGCTGCAGGTAAGTTTTGCTCAATTTTAGGTACATAAACGTAAGAAAGGTGCAGTAAAAACAGAATATTAATAATCAAGGTTGGAACAACGGCTCAGCGGTTAAGAGCACTCACTGCTCCACCAAGAGACCCAAGTTCACTACCCAGCACCCAAATCAGGTGGCTCGCAGCTGCCTGAAACTCCAGTTTCAAGGGATCAGGCGCCCTCTTCTGGCCTCTGAAAGTTTCTGCACACATGCATTCTATAGAAGTTTCTGCACACATGCATTCTACATACAAATAAATAAAAACAAATTTTCAGAAAAGAGAGTTTTAAAATAAGATGGTATGCCTACACGTGGCTCTTACTAGGAAAGAAGCCTGGAGAAGCAGAAGCTGAGCTGGGGGAGCCAGGAAGGGGGGAACCAACGTGACTGTCCAGGGAGGTAGACACTGAGGTAGACACTATAGGCACCAAACACAGACTACATGAAATTTGGGGGGGAAATAGGTTTTTTTTTCCCTTTCATGATAAATGAGCCGTAGCTTACTATAAATTTTCCACCATATAAATGATCTTTAATTTTTAAAGAAACTATTTGACCGTTTTGTTATGACACTTAGCTTGAAACACAAATATTGTACTATATCTTCCTTTTAAAATCTTTATTCTTTAAGTTCTTAATTTATTTATTACCTTTAAAATTTGTTTGTTAGCCGGGCGGTGATGGCGCACGCCTTTAATCCCAGCACTCGGGAGGCAGACAGGCGGATCTCTGTGAGTTCGAGGCCAGCCTGGGCTACCAAGTGAGTTCCAGGAAGGGTGCAAAGCTACACAGAGAAACCCTGTCTCGAAAAACAAAAAAAAAAAAAAACTTGTTTGTTAAAAACTAAGACACAAAAACATGCATTAGTCTAAGCCTGCATGGGGTCTGTTTATTCCAGGATCAACACAAACAAATGATTAAAAAAAAAGACAACATCAGTGAGTGATAGAAAATTTTCATAACTCCATAGAACCATTTTTGTACACATGGTCCATTGTTGGCTGAAATGTTGATATGCAGCACATTGTTACAAATCTGAGAACTGGGATATGATCTAGGATGATACATAAATGTGTAATTCATCATATTCAAGCAATATTCCGAAGATGGGATCACAGAGAAAAGGGAGATGAAGAAAGTATAGGCCTGGGTATCACCTTCAAGAAACACCAACGTTTAGAAGTTGAGAATGTAAGACAGAATCAGAAAAGCACTCCTTGGAACAGCCAGCAAAACAGAGAAAGAGAAAGGACCAGTGTTCTCTCTAGAGGCAAATGATGAAAACACATCTAACTGATCAACAATGTTATGAGCCACTGATAGAGTGAAAAATGTCTCCTGACATATCAGCTTAATTATCAAACACATTAAGTCTGCAAAGAAGACAGCTGCTGTCATGATCTTGCTGCCGGTGAGCAGGAATTCATCAGTCTCTAAACAACTTTCCATCTTGTCTTCCTACAAGAGAGATCCAGTCTTGCGAAGTCTCCTATCTCTTCCCCCAACATGTCCTCATATGATTTCTTAACCTCAGCTGTCACCCTGACAAGGTATCCTTTATCCAAATGAGGAAAAGATAGACATTTGGCTCACCAAAACTTGCATGAAATTTTGCCACAGCACATTTATAGCCTTTTGTTCAATAATCTGCCTAGTATGTGCCATAATAGATTTTGAAAACCACAGGATGAGAGACATCATCTAGAAAGACTTTTTAAAGATACATAGTTGAGCCAGGCGGTGGTGACCCATACCTTTAATCCCAGCACTGAGGAGGAAAAGGCAGAAGGATCTCTGTGAGTTCGAGACCAGCCTGGTCTACAGAGTGATATCCAGGACAGGCACCAAAATTATACAGAGAAACCCTGTGTCAAAAAAAAAAAAAAAGTACATAGTTGCATGGCAGATAGTGAAATGATTTTTGAATCTTCTGAGAAACACATCAATTAGATGCTGTGGGAAAAGAAAGCAGGAGACACTACCTGGAGGAAACTGCGAAACCACTGATAGACTTTTTTAAACCAAGGAGCAATGTGACAACCCTCACCGGGGACTAGAGATGGGACAAAGTGCAGGATGGAAGGACACTAGGACAGTAGAAAGTAAAAGCAGTGGAAGTCTGTAGAAAGGCAGAGAACCCAGCAGAAGGGAGAGTCAACAGACAAGCAACTGGTTGACAGAAAGAAGGAAAAAGAAATATAGAACAAACCAGTTAATAACTGACCTCGCAGCATAGGAACAAGCTCTGAAGGAATAAAAAGTGGGGAGGATTACTTTTTAAGTACGTTGAGTTTTTGAAATGCTAGCCATTCCATAATCACCTACTGGACAATATGTCTGGAACTGTGGGAAGATGGCATCTTGGCTAAAGAGATATAGGATTTACTAGACTGTCAGATAGATTGATTTTTATTGCACTGTATGTAGACTAATAATAAATATGGACAGAGGGCGCAACACTGAAAAATTCCAACATTTAAGTCATGGCTAGGCCAAGCATGGTAGTACATGTCTTTAATCCCAGCACTTGGGTG